TATATATATATATTAATATTAATATTTTTTTGTATTCACTGCTTCAATCTAAGGAGTTGCTGGCTATATTATGAGCTCCAACACTCTTTGATGTTACTTAATATTATTCCTTCTTTTCACTGAGTGCACTGAGAAAAGATATTGCACTTTGGTCTTTGGTCCAGGATAAAGCATTATTTATGCATTAAACAAAACAGTGAAACTTCACAGCAGCTTTATTTAGAAGCAAAATTTACACATTCAGTGACATTTATATTTACTAATTTTCCATAGAAAGCTTAATACTATTACTAATGCTTTTTAAAATAGCATTCATTAATGAGACATTGGTTTCGGTACAACAGATCACATGCAGTTGCAAGACTGTATCACATGGTAGAATAAGGTCACAGAAGTGACTTTACGACTATTTTCTAAATGTGTAGCAGATGAGATGCACAACTCCATCCTGCCTTTCAAATGATAGTCATCTTCATTGTGTTCGAATAAAATACAACATCATTACAAAAGTCCCATTTCATATTCCAGCCAGATGTCTCCTGCTGCTTTTCAAGCTTTACGTCTGTGCATCTGTGTGGCTCACATCATTAAATACTGCTGATTATGAAACTACTTTAATCATTTTGGAACAATGCTATTTGGACTATTCACAGAATTTCATTATCCTTATTTTTTTATGTTATATTTTGTCATTTGTAAATAATCAAAAATATTGTCCTAAAATGTAGGATATAATGTTAATAGTTTCTAATGGATTTTTTCATATGAAACCAGCTTATTATCCCCCAGTCCTCAATCATTTTATGCTCGCACTTAGTCGCTTGACAAAAAATGAAAATAAATCTATTTCAAAGTCTGCCACATCATCATATACCAGCATTTTATCTTCAGTGTTGTAGTTAACACTATTACTTATGTCCTCACCATAGAGAGTATTTCTGAGGTTTTAATTCACTTATAATGCCATTTTTATGGAATAAAGAAAAATCCCCCCTTACATACATACACAATAAATAAATAAAAAACCCTTATAGCCGCTTAATTGGCAGCAATAATGAGTCACATGAAAAACAAAGTATTTTCTTTCAAGGAAAATAAAGCATAACATTTTGAAGAAATTTTATTTGCAAGGGAATAAACCAGAAGATTGAAATGTTATGCTTGAAAATTTAAACCAGACAGAAAAATGAACTGCATGTAAAATAAATAGAAATTGACAAAATTAATAATAAATCAAAAAGATAAAAGATGGAAATCATGACAGAAAAGTTCAGGAAATGTTCAGTAAGATTCCTGCATCTGTTGACATGTATGTTGGTTCACTGTTCATGACGACGGTACTTTAATATGTCTGGAACAGCTTTTTGTTAATAAAAATGTAAAATTCCTATTTGATTTTAATAAATATAATTTTGTATTTTTATTTATTATTACTTTTACCAAATTCAAATTACTAGTGTGAATTTATAATTTTTCTTTATTTGGAGGGTATGTAAACTTTCAAGCACAACTGTATGTCATTTTTCATCAAAATTTGCAACTCCTAAAGTAATGTCAAAATGGGATGAAGAAAAAAAAAATGTCCCCAGGATATATATATATATATATATATATATATATATANATATATATATATATATATATATATATATATATATATATATATATATATATATATATATATATATATATATATATATATCCTGGGGACATTTTTTTTTCTTTTTGTTTTTTTTGTTTCAGTTATAAACATATTAATATGATTAAACATGACCTATTCCTATTCTATTATAAGAAACATTTTTCTGATTTAACACCCTCTGTAGTTTAATAATTTAACAAAAATATAACTCAGTTATTTCTTCATCTTTTGTGTGTTTTTTCAAAGTGTACATGTCTTAAAGAGACGATAAAAGGAATGAGGTCAGAGTCCATCTCGTCCCTGATGATGCTCCTCTTTCCTGATGGATGTTGAGTCTTCTTTATATCAGATTAATTAGATACTGACATCCCCAAAAAATCCAAGAGAATCCTTAACATCGACAATACAGCTGTCTGAACTGTGCAGTAATATTTTTAGCTTCTGCTCATATATGAGTTAAAGAGTTTTAACACCAATAAAAAACATCAAAGCTTTTAATAGTATTAGCTTCTTGTTTTTAGCGCCTCCTAGTGTTAAACGTGCACTGTGCTTTAGATGCTGTGCATGTATGTTAGAACAAAAAATATTAATGTTGATAGGACCCTTTATGGAGAAATGTACCAAAATCAATGTAATACAGTGGTAAACATATTTTAACAGTTCTTGGATCACTGCAGTGACCTATGTAAAACAAGAAATCAATTGGGATATAAAATACTCCACTAATTCTTGAAATATTCTCACATGATCATATATGCGTTGGTGCAAGGTTGACTTTTTTAGGTATCTATCAGAGATTTTTGGTAAGAAAAACAATTTCCATAATTTACCAGAAAAAGGTAAGTTATTATGAAGAAACATGCAGAGACCAATTGTAACATTTCAAAGATATCCAGAGATGAAAGATTGATTTTAAAGGAGCATTGTGAAAGTTTTTTTTTTTTTTATATATAAGTTCAAGTCAGTGTTGTTCCTGTGCACTGGAGAAGAAGAGAAGCATTGCATTTTTTTGCTGGGACTGCCAAGGTCTTTTGCTATAAAGCATAATGTCATCTGAGGTAAGAAAGTTATGAATGTAATTATCTGTTAGCATCTTACCTTTTCTTTTAGCAAGAAGATCCCTTTTCATTTGTAGCACATATCTGAGCTCCTTATTTTTTAAAAGCATCCCAAATATTTGCATTTTGTTATTTTGTCACTCATCAGAGTCTAATTTGGCCCTTTTTGTAGTGCCAGACAATTATTTTATTTTCTCTCTTGTGTGGAATCTGTGGCGGTTTCATCCACATTTTTAGCTGGTCTTTTCTGATCTATCTTCAAAAGCAGCAGCCCATGTTGTCTCACTAACGCTTTAGTAGTGTTGAAGACTCAACAAATTAGCCAGGTGAATGAAAGTGCATCGCACATCACAGGCAGGCACATGCTCCCAGAATACACCCTGCAGCACTTTCTCATTACTGAGTCTGTAGTGGGAACTACAATAAATAGAGGCAAACTAATTTTACACCTCGGGTCACTAAAAGGGCATGTAAGGGGAATGGAGGAAAAAAGCAACCTTTAAATTTGGGCAATGCTATATAACTTTTACTGATATAGATCAGGCCTATAGGACAAGATCCTTACTGCATGTATAGGGTTCGTCCAAATCTGTTGATATTCTCTTTGCAAAATAAAACTTTTCCCAATGAAGCTCCTGCTGTTGGTGGAATAAAATTAACTATGCAATTTGTTTCCATAGTTAAATTACCTCTAATATTTTGGTTTAGCATATGAATTATCTCTAGCTACAGCTGATATCAGCTTAAGTAATTCTGCAGCTACAGTAGCAAGCTTGCAATGAAACTTTATTTTCACAGCAAAAAATAAAAGCTCTACAGTATGTTAGTTCTGAACCTAACACGAGCCAAAAAAAAAAAATTGCGATGTGCAACAGTCTGGATCCTTCAAGTGGAAATTTTATTGGAAAAAAAAATTATACATTTAAGGGGCCTGGCATTGCTAATTTTGGATCCAACTTTACATGTAAGATTAAGGGTGTTTGATTCAGAAACCTAAATGGGTTGGATCTTACCCACAGTGCCAAATAAGAGTAGGTAGTAATTATTGTTTGTAAAGTATCTCAGTAACAGTGTATGTGCTGTGGCTTACTTAAGTTCCTGGAGATGTTACAAGTCTCCCTGGAGATAAAATGAAGCAATTACATTCATGTTTAATGCTCCACTGGATGTATGGAAATGTTGCTGCATTTCTTTGAGCTTAGTGCTCTAAAAAGCTCTTAACAAACACGTCATGGGACTTACAGCATGTGGCAGCTCAGAAGAAAACGTTGCTGCTTCTTTTCATTGTCATATTTCGAGCCAACACTGAACAATTACAGTCAAGTTTTTTTACAGCCATGTATGTTTGAATGGACCAATTATCTTCACAGTGTAACATCAGCAGCACATTTTACACAAAGCAGAACATTTGTCCACTTAACATTGATTTTAAACCGTTTGCAGTCAAACACAGTTTTAGGGATACAAAAAAAATCAATTCTAAGACAACAATTTTCATGATTTTGCTTTTACCATCTAAAAATAAGCAGATGAATGCTTACGCTACTTCACATGCACCATTAATAGAAATAGTTCATTTTTACAGAACCTTATAAAAAATATGGTTCAGAGAGTAACAAGCAGAGCAAGGCATTTTGCATGTAGTTACACGACATGTCAGCATAAGCATATACATAAAGATACAAGACAATTTTCCTGCACACGCCTGTTTGGCTCACTTTTAGGTTCTCTGCAGGAGAAATTACTCAATTTAAAAGCCATAGCTGCTGTAACTGTGGTTAATCATACACTAGCAGGGCCAGGTACTTGTACTTAAATGGCACAGTTTGCATACTGCACAAACAGGCAGAGAAATCTTGTTTGCTGGTTTAAAGCACGGTTTGGCACAATAAGTCACTGCGACAAACACAAATGGTTCCCTTTATGTACATTCAGAAGTTGCTCTGGCTTTGCAGAAAAAAAGATCATACAATACCCAGGTGCCAGTTTTATTAACCATTTTTAGCAGTATTTTAAATGAAAAGAACAAACGCTGACTGGGCTGAGCTGCAAAGCAACACATGGCATACCCTGAAGAGGCTGAAACAGTAGCTGCGCAGAGCAGATCAATGATTTGTGTTCAGGTGGTCAAGAGAACCCCTGCTGCAACCATACAAAAGCAGGTTGAAGAGCACAGCTGAGATAAATAATTTTGTATTTACCTCACATTCAGTCAAGTCTTTATACAGGCAGAGAGGCCTTTCAGCCGTGACAAATATAAACCCACTCTTTACAACAGTTTTAAGCAAAATTTCTCCTATAAAAGACATCTGGAGCCAAAGTAGCATGGAAGCAAATGAACATGAATTTGTTTGCTCATCATAAAGCATTAGAGATAAGCTGATGTCTATGCCCAGTGGCTAAGATTAATAAGGCAGAAAGAACCACAATAACAGGTTGTAAAAGTGGGTTTATAGATCAATTAATTTAATAGTCTTGTTACCAGAAAATACCTGTCTACACCTGTCCTTTCCTTTAAAAACAAACTAATTTGTTTTTTAATCCTCAAGCATGGCTTTGCAGGTTTATAACACGAGTCCAAGCAGAAATACAAAGGAGAGCAGGGAGTGGGAGAGGTCATCCGTGCTCCTCAGTGTCAGCCTTGTTCTGTATTTGAGGCATACATGTGTGGTTCCCGTTCAGTAATTAAAGCCCTGTGGTGACCTGCGTTACTTCAGAGTTGAGATCGTCGTTGGCAGCTCCTCCGCAATAGCGAGAATCCACCGACGACCCCTCCAAGGCTAGTCATACCTGCAGAGGAGGAAAAGTCTTTCTGCATCACATCCAAGGGATTCTGGGATTTATTTCTCCAAGCTGTAAACTGCTTTTGTGCCAATGAAAGGCAGAGCATAAGTTTTTTTTTTCATGTATATAAACCTTCAATATTTACCTTGTTGTTAACACATATGGAATGAGATGCTATCATGGATTTTTGTGAACCTTATGATTCATCCAGTTGGTCCACATTTTCTTACAGTATTACTTTAAACTGTTACAAATCCTGGTAATGTGCTCACGCTCCTGTTGAATACCTGTTGATTCGACCTCTCGCCCGTGTTTGGGCTGTTACTTTCGCGCTTTGGGACTTTGCGGCTGGTGGCTCCAGTTCTGGATGAGTTTTGTATCTCCAGCACTGATGGACTGGGGGTGCAGAATTCACGGAAGCAACGCTTGAAGTTCTCATCAAGGTAGCCATAAAGAACTGGGTTCAGACTACTGCAGGGCGAGAAGAGAGGTAAAGAGATAAGATTTTAATGCTTGAACAGAGATTAAATCAACTTTCACAGAAAGTTCTTAACACAATCTTTACCTCTATTAAAGGTATAGTGAAGGATTTTTGTGAATTTTTAAAAGGACCTGCCCTCTTCACTTAAAAAAAAAGCACAACCCTGTAACCGCTCCTGAGAGGGAACGCCTATTAAACGTGTGCAAGAGCATGCATGTGCCCATTTCTCCTCGTGCACACTCTATTTAAAAGTTGCCGCTTGGATCGCTCATACAAGCTTACTTTCAAAAAGATTTGAAATTTTCAAACTCGTCCGACTCACCACCGGTAAGTGAAAATGGGGACGAGCACGTAGGACAGCCTTATGTAATCATATCACCAGAATGATTGACAATTAGGAGGACCACCTATTTTGATGATCCACCTGGAAAAACAACATTCTCCACTATATTTTTAACTATATGTGGCTGTGGAAAAACTGCAATATGCAGCTTTATAAAACAAGATTTTCTTCCTAGTGCAGCAGACTTTGCTTTTTAACCACTAACATAATTGAGGGCTAGGGATTTCACTCCATTCGTCTTTGTGGTAACAGTGATGTAGGATAATGAAGTTTCTCCTGCAACCATGGAGTCGCTTGTTTGAACCCCAGTTTCAGCCATTCTGTTTTTGGGCAGGACACAAAGCCTCCATGTAAGTACAGACCAGCTGCCATTATTTAGAAGCCATCTAGCACAAGATAATTTAAATAGTACACTATATATGATTACTTTTCACTTGCCTTGTGTAAATTTGGTATAATTTGAGTCAACAATTTATTTGACGAGAGAGATGTCTAGGGCGAAACTGAAGCAGATGTCTACACAACCTAGAACGTAGAAACGTAGAAGCGGCTCTCTGCTATGGCCGAGCTCCTCTCCCTATCTTTAAAGTGGTACTCAGTCACCCTGCAAAGGATGCTTCTTTCATCCACTTGTATCTACAGTAGGATCTTGTTCATTTGACTTCCTATCTGATTTAATGTTAAATGCTGACAAGGTCATTATAGTGGAGGATTTTAAACGTTCATGCTGACATTAAAGGTAATAGCTTAAATGCAACCTTTATTGCTATCTAAGCATCCAACTTGTATGTAAGATTCAGTCCAAACCAAGTTATTTAAGTATTCCCACTGATTTCCACTTCAATTTTAATCTATCCCTGTTATAAGAATAGGTACTGCTGTTCAAGGTAGTTGTAAATAAACCTTGACTTAAGAAACCTTCTTTTGATCCAAATGACTTGGTCAATTATAGACTTCTATCCTTTCTATCTAAAATTCTTTAGAAAATAGATGCTAATCAAGTGTGTGAGCACCTATATTATAATGACCTATTTGAATATTTTTTGAGTTTTAGTCAAGTTTTGGAGCTCTTTATAGCACTCAAAGAGCTCTGGTGAAAGTCACAAATTACATTCTCATGGTCCTCGATAATGGACTTGTACAGTAGCTGTACTTTTCCTGTTGATTGCAGTACAGCATTGGACAGCTGACTATAATATTCTTTCATAATGTCTTGAACATTCTATATGAAATTGAGGAAACTGCATGAGAAATATAAGAGATTTCACGTTGTTCATGTTAATAATAAATCTTCCTCATGCTCCGGGGTTACCTGTGGAGTACCACATGGATGAGTACTAGGGGCCAATTCTCTTTACTATGTATATGCTCCCTATTAGTATAATTATCTGACTGCATGGGATAAATTTCCACTGTTATGCTGACAATACTTGGCTTAATTTGTCCAAAGATCCTGATGAAACTAACCAATTACATATACTATAGGCATGTCTAGGAAACTTTTTATGAATCTGACTGCATGATCTCATTAAACTGTCTTTGTAAAGTGCCTCGAGATGACACATGATGTGAAATGGCTGTATATAAACAAGCTGAACTGAATTTAATTGAAAAGGTAATTGAATTTAGACTCGTGCTTCAGTTCAATCTTGGAGGTTAGTGTACATGTTGTCCTATTATTAGGTTAGTTAAAGCAATACTTTCTGCAGTACTATCTAGAAATTACAACAAATATTTCTCAGCCTGATTTGTACCTGTTGGTGTAGCCCAGGGCAATGCAGAAGTGCCAAGTGATAGTCTGGAGGGTGGAGCTGGGAATATTTATCAGAGCTGTGATGATGACAAAGACGTGAATTGGGGTCCAGCAGACGATGAAGACAGCTACTACGACCAAGACCATGCGGGTGATTCTTCTGAGGTTCTTGTCTTTTTCCTGTAAGAGTTTGTATAGTACATTGGTGGGGGAATTTGAGAACAAAGTGTAAAAAAGAAAAAAAATTGGGTCAAGTAATGAGGAATCATTTCATTATAATCAATAATGAGAAGGATAAAACCTGAATAACAAATATGGAATGAGTGCCCTAACATGACATATATGCCTCAGTCAGATAAAATCATGTGTTTAGAACGCAATTATAACTAAATCAAAGCCTACTGCTTCAGCTAATTTCCTCTAATTGTTTTATCTTGAGCTTAATGAGTCAACTCTATTTTAAGGCATGTTGTGGGCATCTCCCATTGTGCTCGATCACTCTGTAAAATACAATTAATTCATTAGGTAGATGAGAACAAGAGGTCTGCTAAAACCAATGACATGTAATTTTTGAAAAATATTCATTTAAACTCTTTAATATATAAAGGAAAAAAAACAAAAAACGAGTTTGTGTTAACCTGTGAGCCTGACAGCATTCGAACACTCTTGAGTCGCAGGATCATCAGTCCGTAGCACACGGTGATGATAAGGACAGGCATGATGAAGGCAAAGATGAACACGCATATCTTCATAAGGGTCTCCCAGTACCAGGAGGGATGGGGGAAAATCAGCTTACAGTCGATAATGTTGGAGGCTGTGCAGAAAAATACATTTGCTTTAAAACTTTTCCCAGCAGTTTCATTTAGAAAGCCCAGCATATTTAGCTGTAAATTCATTGACATCAGCACAATTTTAAGGCAATGCTGCAGACCATGTATTTCACTAATAAATTCAGTTTTTTTGCTATTCCTCTGTCTTTAGGAGGTAGAAAGTCAATAGAACTTCAATTGTTGATATTATTTAAAACACTACAATGTTGTTGATGAAACAAGAAATACCAGTAAACACAGCTGTTTAAACACTGTATTGCAATTATATTATATTTAACCCATTTTAAGAGTTTCTCTCTAAATCCAGCCAATGGTGTTGGAATGCGATCGGCCCAATCAAAACCAGCTCCTCATTGCTACAGGAAGTGGGAACATATCAAATCAATGAATATTAGTTTTGTTGTCAACTTAGATGATCTCTAAGCCCAAACCAGAATATTAGCAATGCAGCTTTTTGGATTTTGCTGAAACTAACTTCAGGGTCAATTTCCTGGCTCCAGCTTGTGTCTGCAAGGCTTTCTGACCACAAGAGCAGGTTGGAAAACTCATGGAAGGTGGGTTGGCATGGCTTGAAAACAACTGATGGGGTTATCCAGAATATGTTACAGTGAAGATTTGTCTCTGCAGCCCAGATATTGAACTGTTGCCAGTTGGTTTCCATATTATTAGCAAAGAAAGTTTACCAGTGTTCTTTTGTTAAAATGCTGAATGCTCTACCTTATATTCCACAATTGTTGTGTGTATTAAATAGTTTTAATTTAGACCATGTTTTCTATGTTTATATGTTTATGAGTGTGTGCATCAATTATTCACTTAAATTTGTTATTTATGGGTCATTTTGTGTGCTTATGCCATATCTTTATTTATTGCTTGTGATCATTGATGTTTCCAGCAAATATTTTTAGGAGCAACAGTAAACCTTAAACTAATTTAGTCAGTGCCAAATCAACAACTGAAACAAGGTGTTTTTTTTATTAAGATTGATAGCACAGTCTTAAAATTCTGTTTTGGTTGTTTTAACAGATGTGCTGCTTTCATAAATGGGGATCCCAGTTAAAAACGGTGGGCAAACTTACTTTAAACAGTCATAAAGGTTTCAAAAGAAAGCTCATTCTTTTTCATGAAGAAAATGAATCCAGCACTAGAGCAGACATTGGGAACACATCAAATTAATAACTTTTTTTTAATGTTCTCTTAGTGCTGTTTTTCTTAGTAACTTCTGCACCAGGTCACCAACCTTGAACTAGCTCATTGTTTCAAGTTCTCTGCTTAAGCGGTCTTCACTGACTCATTGACCCTCTGCTGTTAATGATTTTCTGCCAGCGGGCCACAATATTGATGCTAGAGTTGGCGTTACAGACTATTATATCACACCCTAAAGCTTTTCTTTCCATACAAGGTCAACAGCAGAGGTAATTTAAAATTGTTGTGGTGGAGCTTGCACAACCACTGAAAGGCTAAAATATGAAAAGAAAGATTGTATATTTATTCATCTATTTTGACTTTTAATAATTTAATATTTGTATGGGTAAAAGGGGGTCATTTAAGTGCTCAACTGAGGTTTTTAGATTATATTTTTCTTCTTTTTTTCTTAAGTAAGTGATTTTTTTGTTAAACAAACAATGATTTAAGTATATCTTAATACACCTATCTATCCCTTTCAGTAGGGATGCACAGAGTATAACATTTCATCACACAAATCCTAGTTTAAAAATGTACTTTCTTTTGTCTTTTCTTTAACAGAAATTTCTACAGTAGGGGATGTTCCACTACGTAATTTTCCGATATCATACAACCGCTAATACTTACAGGTCATGGCAGAAGAGGCCATGAACATCACAGGCAGCCCAATGGCTGATGAGAGGATCCAGTTGCAGACGTTGACGATCTTAGCGTTCCGCGGTGTCCTGAAGTCTAACGCCTTGACCGGGTGGCACACAGCGATGTAGCGATCAATGCTCATGGTGGTGAGCGTGAAGATGGAGGTGAACATGTTGTAGTAGTCGATGGACATCACCATTTTACACAGTATGTCGCCGAATGGCCAGGTGCCCATCAGGTAGTTAACGCTCTGGAAGGGTAGCGTGCTAGTGACCAAGGTGTCTGCCAAAGCCAGGTTAAAGATGTAGATGTTGGTGGCAGTTTTCATTTTAGTGTACCTAAAGAGGAAAATAAAGATGGTATAATTAAAGATTCTTACACTCAAAGTACCCCACTATTCATCCACAGCATGAAAACACATTACTGCTTCCTTTGTATTGTCTTTGATTTCTGTTTTTCATCTTTAAATACAACTTTCTCCTCCTTAAGAGGCTCTTTTTACAGTATACTGTGAAATAAGCCCTGCTGATCTACCCTGATCTTTGTCTGAACACAGCGACTGTTCAACAGATGCTAACAGGCATTCAAAAGCATTTTGGACAGAGTGTGCTCAGCATGCATAATGAAAAAATCATTTGGATCCTCATCCAGCCTTGGAGACAGACTAAAAGAAATACATTTGTGTGTCACATTATATTCATATCCTGAAGAAATAGAAATTCAGTGATTGCCAAATAGTTGTTAAAGTCTTTTTTGTCTACTGCAAAGTAATTTGGTGCATAAAATTTTAATACCTGTGTGAGCATAACTGAAGCATAATCAAACTAATCCGTTCAGTTCCTGTGTAATAACCTGTCCTTTGTGTACAATTACTTATAAGTATATTTTATTGGATTCTAAGTAATAATAATTCCACTTTCAAGTATATTGTGACTATTTAACTTACAAGATGTCGTCATAAATCATGAAAATACACTTTTGCATAAATACACATCAGGCTTTCTTTATTTCTTTACTCATTCTCTAAATGTATCATATAGTTTAACAAACAGTTGAACATTTATTATAATTATAATAACAAAAATGTGTAACACATGAAATAACAAGGTTGAAAATGAAGTAACAGGGTAAAATGAATGACTAAATTTAACCAATCAAAAATTGACTTGAATTAATTCATTAAAACAAACAATAGTAAAGAAACAAAACATAAAATATATAAATGATAAATCCTATTTAGATTAAATAGATCTGTCCTATGAAAAACAAATGGAAGACAAGAACGCTGTTTATACATTTTTATACACTAGAATCAGGTTAACAAAATAACAACTGACTTGAAAACACATTTGTAGTCTTAAAATTATTTTGTAAGTTCTTGAATAAGCCATCCGTTCATCCCAGCTTCTTTATCTGTTTTCCATCGTGATGCTTTTTTCTGAGTTATTCTTCCTTTCTCCATGAATCTGCATTACTTCTCACCCTATCCTCTCTGCATTTAATTAGTCAGAGGTGTCAGGTAACTAAGGAAACAATAGAAAGAATTGGGATAATCCCAGATATCATTCAAAAGTATGATGACAGTAACAGGATCTGCAATATTTTCTGTACCTTTTCTGCTTTGTCACTTTTGAAGTTTAGCTAAAAACGATTAGGATGTTGAACATGTTGTTGAACATATTTAGATTGTGTTTGCAGGGAGCTTTGCTAAACGGTAGAAACAAAATAATAATGATAATAAACATAAAAAAAATCAATTATAATTATCATTAGCTGAAAAAAATGACTTTGCTAACAAGCTGCCCCTTTAGCCTAAGAAAAATAAACAACTTTTTAACATTAACAGCAATTAATACAAGTTCTGATAAGGCTGTTTTGTCAGATTAAAGGTACCTTTTGTAAATAACCTTAATTAGCTATTATTTTGACTTTCACTGGCATTATGTACTGCACCTTTTTGCTCTAGTCCCCCTCAAAAAAAAAAAAAAAATTATTTCAAATTTTTATTTCTTTTTGCTGTTAAAGCAACAATCCCTCTGGATAAATTTAATTTTGTATTTCCTCTTATGCATGCATAATGACAATAAAGAAAATGCTGATTGAAATTGTCAAAATACTTTTTATTAAGACAATAGTTTGCATTAATATTGTTCCTTTTATAGCTCTGATGTAATATTCTAACCCTAAATATGTTTTCACTAGTTATAAGCAAACACTCATTAAAATAACTAAATCTTTAAAGATATCCATCCTTGATAAATGTATTTTACTTAGCTCACTGAGTTAGAGAATTTCATTTATTTTGTTTTTCTAATTCACTAATTGAGTCTGTACAAAACATGTCTGGCCTTCATTTATTGAAAGTTATACTTGCACACAGCTTCAAGTTAATTGATTTAGCTTTTGTTTTTGTTAAATTAAAAGGAAAGGGCAGCACACATGAATAAAGATTGGTTAATAAACCTCATATAACCCTGGGCCATCTAGTTTTTTGATGGTTAGGCTTTGCTATAATAAGTAGAAAAGCACATAAACTAACTCTACCATGACATACAATAAATAAATCCTAGTATATACTACTAATAGAAACTCTTCTATGCTACAATCATATATTGAAAATGTTCTGAATATCCTTGTCTGATTTAGTTGTAAGATATAATGTTGGTTAATTCATTCATTTAATAGAGGATTCTAGTATCCATTTAAGTGGGTTTTATGGGTAAAAGAGCATGGCACTAGTAAATTTGTAAATAAAAATGCATCTCGACAGTTTTAACATTGGACGTTCTGAACAGTAATTTTTTTTTCTGATATTGTGCAAATGCAATAAAATCTGAATTAATCTAAAGTCCTCCTCCATATATTTTACCTGGGATGTCAACACATGTGAAGGACAATGCACAATAATATGGTCGATAGTATGTCAAGTGTTTTTAAACACTCCCCCAGAAAGCATTGATAAGATTATTTATACTTTGCTACATGTCTTTTTTTGCATGAATGTTTGAAATGTTAACATTAATTCTTAATTAGACTATATATTTAGTACTATTTTATCAAAATATTAGACACTGCTTCTGAAACCATTGGAAAGATACAGAGAAAGGAGCAGGAGAGGATAAATAGAGATGTTTAAAAGAACCAGAAGGAATCAATGAGAGGGGTGTTAAAATGTCCAGTCTATTTTCTCCTGCGTGAAAAAAAAGACTGCACTAAAGGCAGAATGCACTGTCTGACCAACGTGATAAAAAAAAGAAAAAAGAAAACAGATAAAAATGTTATTGATTAAAATAGGAATGCAAATAAATTGTTAGGTCAAATATGTTTAAGAAAACAGAACTCCGTTCATTATTTAGCTGAGGGGAGAGGAAAAAACACAAACAATCTACATGGGCTCAACTGTTTAAATCTCTTGTCAGAAAAAGACGTATATGATATTTAGCGTTTAATCTCTTTGGGCTATAAAACACAAAAAACAAGCAACAGTTAACCATGCAGCCATAACCTGCACCCCACTCATCTGTCTCAGATATCAAAACTCAGTTTGGACAGCAGAGATCTGAGATCTGAGATGTATTTAGGGTTTTTTTATTTTTATATTGAAACTGAATAAAATATAATCTCATCAATGAAAAGAGAAAAAGGTTTAAAGAGTAAATTTTTTTCTCAGCTCGAGGTTTTTAAATGTTTGATGAGGAATGTCTGACATTTAATCAAGCTCAACAGTTTTAAACATTAAAAGAATGTCTCAAGCTATTCAACCCAACTAAATTCTAGTCAGTCCGCTTCATTTTGATTCTAATACTCAATTTCTCTTTGCATTAGGGATTTTTTTCATCCTCTGCTCATACATTCTTAAAGGAAAATATTTAGATGGCCTTGCAAGTGCATACATATCTTTTCAGTTTTCACTATTTGTCAGGTCACAAGTTCTAGTTTTAAAGTATGTATGTTATAGATTAACACTTGACTGTCCATGATTATGAGGTAAAGAAAATGTATATGTAGCTTAGCTGTAGGTTTTACAACCAGAAATGTACATCTACATTCTGATTTTATGTTTTGGTATGCTCTCTTGGTCGAAGGTTAGGCTTTATAAACCCTTAACAAGTCTTATCTGTCTCGATATATTCCAAGTCTGATCTGCTTTCCTGGCCCTGTTGAAAAAGATCCTGCAGCATAATGTGCGCATTCAGCTCGGCAAAGAACTCATGCTCTTCCTCAACACTGAAGTCCTCAGACATTTTTCTTTCGTTGTTTCTTTCTTTGCACAGAAACAGCACATTTCTTCTTCTACGCTTGCATTATCGGCAGAGCAGACGCTGAATGCGCACTTTCATCTGGTTTGGTCTGCCGCGGTTTCCGTAGACTCGTGAACGCGCTTTCAGGAAATCCTATACACTACTGTTTATGCTCTAAAAACATTCTAAATGACTTCGTTTCGAGTAAATTCTGGATGCTACCCACTCAGGACACTTGGAATACATTGGACTAGCAGTATGGAGGAATATTGACACGTTTTTTGTGGACTTTTATGGACCTTTCTGTCTCGGACACCATAGACCTCCATTATTTGAATGTCAGCAGACAGCAAGAAGCCTCCCAGATCTCCAGATGCATTTGAGATATCAAAAAAGTACTCCAGAGTGTTGTTCAGCATGGGGGTGAGTAGAAAATGAAGGCTAATCATGTTTTGGGTGTACTATTCCTTTAATGTTTTTCATGTTGGACAACAAAAAAATAAGTTTTGGTCTCATGTAAACAGAGTCATTTCTTTCAAAAGAGTTTTTAAAGTTTTGCCACATAATTATATAAAGAATAAATGTAAAGAGCATCACTATGTTTGTGATTGGTTGGACCTAAAATATACAAAAAAACTAACAGGCTGCTAATTCTACTAACAGGATTAGGACCAACACCTGTCACTGAGCTGACAAGGAGTTATTAAAATTATGTAGGTATTAGGTTTTTTTATGGCTTCCTGCATGAGCTGCTGATTCACCCTTGGTGTGATTTCAGTAGACCTTTGACTCCTAAAAAAAGTTCATCACCGTTCCATGTTTACGACATTCACAGATAATGACTCTCGCTGTGGTTAATTGAAGTTTTAGAACTTTAAAGTTTAAGAACTAACAATAGTTGACTTATGCTTAAAAAAAGTTGACACTTTTTAGTTGACACATAAGGCCAGTTAGGTTTAAAAATCTTAAGTTCGCTAATAACTTTACTACTGCAACACTATTGTTTGCTCAGGAGAGGACTGAAATTAATCAAATTTCTTTGATAATGTCAAACATGTATGAGTGATGAAATCAAAGCAAATACAAAAAAAAAAAAC